CTAACATGGTCACTCACAAAAGCTGGATTTTTTTTTTTTAAGGATCTGTTTGGCAGATATGAGGTTGAGAAGTTGAAACCACCTGCTTTATTTCTGTCCCCTTTTCTGAATAGCTTGATCTGCAGAAAATAAATGAGGCTTTTAGGGCGTCCTGACAAACGGTGCCTTCATCGTTTGGTTGCTTTTTCACCTTCAAAGAGCTAAATATGATAATGTAAAAGTTTGTTTCACAGTGTCAGTGATGGATAATGATAAATAATGTTTTTTTTTTCCCTTTTCTCTTGTTCTCTCTCTCTCTCTCTCTGTTTTTTTAAAATATTAACGTGCAAATTTGTCTCAGACGCTCAGAAGTTTTTTTTTAGTATAAATTCACCATAAAAATTTAAAATTGTGACAATTTTTGGGGTGCAAATTTGTCCGGAAAATTTTTTTTATATAGAAATTTGCCCCGGAAGTATAAAAGTTGTTCCATTAATACGTGTAGGTACAAGAGTTTCATTTAACCTGTCAAAACTTGAAATTGAAACATAAACATTTTGGAACTGATATTTCAAAGTGCTATCCTCATCATGACACCCAAAAAAAGAATCGGTGCTGAATAGAGAGAATGAAATAAAATTTATGTCTTTATTAATAAATAATCATTAAAAATAATTAATATTTTTTTAATATTAGCATAATAAATAATCATACAAAAGTAATATAATAAACATTATACAGTGTTTTCTTCTTCTTTTTTTCCTTTTTTCCCCAACAAGACTGAATTTGGTGTTTCCACGACGAGCTGCTTTCCACTTTCCAATTGATGGCTCGTTTAAGAAAAATAATAAATTATAAATGTCAGGAGGTGAGTTAATTTTCAATTTTTAATTAATGATAAAGAAAATGTCTAGAGTGAAACGTGTGGTTTGAAATAGATAATTTTCATTGATGCAAACATAAGTCTATTTAATTAGATATGTATCATATTAAAAAGAATAACAATCACACGTCTTTGGCCTTTGGGCATCATTTTCACCTTCTATAGATACATGTTATTTGATTTGCATTAACCAACTCTGATCATCCAGATTTGCTGGAAAGCGATATAATTAAGAATGTAAATATATAGTCCTCATGTTGTGATAAAGAGTTAGTTCATAACTCATAAGATCATGAGTTTGAATCCTACTGCTCATATGAGACCTTGTTGGTGGATAATTTATATGTAATTTTGTCAGCATTTTCTGAGCCTGAAGGCATAGCTTGACCTTAGTGAACCCTTAGATCCCAGCTTACCTAAACTTTCTTTGATAAATATATATATTTATATAGTGCTCTTAATTCGTCAAAAGCTAGCTAGTTCTAAGCTATATATCTATCTATCTATATAGATATCCCCTTCTTCAATTTTTTTTTAAAGATATGAGATTTATATATGTAATTTGTTTATACATTATGAATAATATCTCATATTATATATTTATTTACAAGTATACTTGAAAGGACAGGGAATGATATAATAAATTAATGGTCACAAGTGTAATAGTAATGCGTAATTAAGGCAGAACAGCTCATGATTAGTTAGCAATATTGGGAAATGATCCTATCATTTATGTGAGATTATATATCATATGACCCAACTAGTGTCCACGTTCACTATCCATTATTGGATGCACGTAATAGATTTTTTTTTTTTGGAAAAATAAAAAAAATTATACTATAAAAGTTTATTGTACATCAATTACATTTTAAAATTATGATTTGTATTTCACCACAGCTAGATTTTTCTTTTTTCATATCAGATACCTTTAGATCGGACCAACACACCAGTTAATTAGTTTCGATTTCAATCTGATTTCAAAACATTTGTACGTACACACACACACACACAAGTCCCTAGCTATATAAGGCTTTTTCGTTAGCGAACAAAGCAGCTAGGGTTTTTAGGGTTTGTTTGGCAGATGAATAGTTGACTGATTGAAAATGCTAGCTTTCTGTCTCTTTAATGTGTGTGTGTGTGGCTTGAATTATTGTAGAAAAGAAACGAAAATCAAATTATATATGTGTATATATATGATTCCGGTCGATAGGATTCCAATATATGCAATATATGTGTCGTATTATTGTATACTGAAAGAATATTATGTGTTCCTGATTCTTCTCTAGGATGTTCGATTATTTATTTATAATTAATTGGATACCAAAGTTAATACTCCTCTGGTTCAAAATGTAACCAATTTGATTAGATTAAAAAAATAAGATAAGTTAGTTAATTATAAAAAATATTTGTTTTTTCTAAAACACCTTAATCATCTTTCTTACTATCCTCCCTCTCTCTCCTACTTGATTATGATTGAGGTAGTATCAAGAAGTGTAATTTAGGAAAATTTAATAAATATGAGAAATAGATCTTATATTTAGGATCAAAATTAACTCAATAACTAGGTCATATATTAAGGATAGAAGGAGGAATATAACATATAAGGATTGAACATCTTTGAAAATCAATGTTAAGAAT